TTCACCAAGACAAATTCCTTCTGTGTCCAATCACACTAGGCCAATAAAGAATTCAATTCAATTCAATCTATTCTATTCTGTTCTGTTCTGTTCTATTCTATTCTATTCTGTTCTATTCTATTCTATTCGAACAGTTTAATTTAAAAAAGTTTAATCAGAGACATAACATATCTATTTTCTTCCATTACTTACAGAAAATAAAAATTGTAGCATTTTAGCAGCATGATCTTGGAGTGCTCTGGGGACTATAAAAATAGAACTGGAAACCACTTTCCAGCCAATGTAGTATGAATTGTTCTCCTTTATTTAATAGCCACCATAGCCACTGAATACTGATGAAACATACATCTATTGCATTTTAATGCATCTGCTTCCCAGGACAAGGATGATATGTGAAAAACATAAAATCTACAATTTCAGATATAGGATTGAAATAGAATAGTATGCTTCTGAGGACTGAATTTGTTTGGAAAAATTTTCTCCTTATTATCCTCCCCAAACAAGTTAAAGTCAACTTTGATGTTTACAGTATTTACACTTCTACTTTGGATACCTCAATCATTATATATGCCAAACCTAGGGGCAAAAAAAAAATCAGAAATAATCTAATATCTTTGAAAGCTGAAAATGTCAAATTCTGTAGTCATTAAAATGCATTGCTTTTAAAATATTTGTCAGCATTGTTTTACTATACATTTTCAAATAATTCCTAATGGCTATCTCGAGTTCTCTTCCTTCTATTCTTAGTAGTGCTGAAAATATTGCAAGAGAAACATCTTTGTGATGGCTAATTTAGATTTCTTTTTGTTTCCCTATGGGCATATTTCAAGAAGGAAACATCTGACAGCTGCAGGAAGCTACCCACTGTCTTGAATAAGATAATGAAAAGCAGGCATGTCATAACTCAGCATGTAATAGAAAGATAATGTTCTTGGAAAATGCATGTTTGAACACTCCTCCCAATCAATATGACTTTTTTTTCCTGATAGGAACTGTGTGTATGGGTGTGCACACATATCCACAGTGATAAAATAAAAAGCCTAAAAATCCCACAAAATTACAAAGTAAAGTTGGTCATTTGATTGGATACAATTATTTTTTTAAAACTGTCTTGGAAACATATGAGTTTCAAATCAGATCAGAATAAAAGCTATCTATGCACACCAATGAACTGTCCATGAAATTAAATCTCTTACAGGTATAAGATAATAATCTGTATTAAATTATTTTGTTTGTTATATTCTATGCCATATAAAAGTGTAGTGACGAACTCGTGGCGGTGCAGAGCAAAAGGAACAATCTCTGTCCTTTGCCTCTGATTTTACCATGATTGGGGACCCTTCAAAGATGCAGAAAGCTTGGAGAGCAATGTGAAACAGAGGGGACCCCTGGGGAGCAGTGAGGAGGAAGCCAACTGTTACGTCTTTAGGACTGGTTGGAGTCCCCAACCAGGTCCGCTGTTTGAGCGGGAGCACCAGCAGCTCCCATTGGTTGGCTCCGTTTGACAGTCGGCTATAAAAGCCGGCTGTCGAGCAGAGCCAGCTGTCGTTCGCTTGCAGTCTGCCTTGTTAGCTGGCAGATGCGACGACCCTTTATTCCCTGAATAAAGACTGTTACTTGTATGCTCTGGTCTAAGCCTCATCTGTTCCATCGCTCCACAACACTGGCGACGAGGATGGGATGTGACCGCAGGCTAGCCAGAAGCACTCGCATTCAAAAGAGCTGAAATCGCTTTAGCGAAGCCACGGCGCTGAACCGCAGCCGCCTCGCTTACAGAGAGCTCAAGCTCAAACCGCTGCGATATGAGCTGAAAGTCACGGCGCTGAAGCCTCAGCCCCCCACGCTCACAGAAGAGCGCGAAATTCAAACCGCTGCCATTTGAATTCAGTCACACAAGCGAAGTACGGCACTGTAGCCACAGTCGCCGACGCTCCCCAGAGAGCGCGAAATCCAAACTGCTGTCACTAAGCTGAAGTCAGTTACGGCGCTGTTAGCCGCAGCCGCCAACGAGTGCAGAGAGCGCGAAATACAGACTGCCCTTACAAGAGCCGAAGTCACTGAGCGAGTCTAGGGCGCTGTAGCCGCAGCCGCCAGCTCTCACGATAAGCGCAAGCCCTAGGGGCACGACCACCCAGAGAGATAGTTCAGTCTGCCAACGACACCGAGGGTCCCAAGATGAACGCCAATCCGGCATTTCAACCATTCAAACCCAACGAGGAGACGTGGGACTCCTACAAGAATCGCTTCAGCTATTACATCGATGCCATTGGTTTAGCTGATGCCGCGGAGCATAGGAAGAAATCATACTTCCTTAGCTACTGCGGGGCTGCAGTCTTCGACACTGCCACGGCACTTTTCACACCACGTGACATCAGAAGCGTTCCGTGGAACGAACTACAAGAAACACTTTCAAACCACTACTCCCTAAACCTTCCCAGATTGCAAGACGCTACGCGTTCAGGATGAGGAAGCAAGCCGAGGGGGAGTCCATCAACCAGTACATGGCCGCCCTGAGGACAGCAGCTCTACAATGCGAATTTAAGAATTGTTTAGACGACATGCTTCTCGACCAACTCGTCTGTGGGGTAAGAGATCTGAGGCTCCAAAGACGTCTACTGGCCAGGAAAGATTTAAATCTTTCCCAAGCAGTAGATGAAGCCCTAGCTGCTGAACTCTCCGCCCAGTCAGTAGCTGAGATTCAGGGCACCACACCCAAGCCTGGTACTTCCACCGTCCACTCGGAAGAGGTGATGACCAAAGCTGACCCCACAGAATTTTCAGACATCCATCGCCTCAAGCAGTTGAAACAACCACAGGTAGGAGCTAGGCAGAGAAACAGCAGTGGCCCACAACAGATCCCTTTGTGCCTAACCTGCGGAGGTGCCCACTCCCAGGCATCTTGCAGGTTCAGAAACGCCAGCTGCCTAAACTGCCACAAGAAAGGCCACCTTGCAAGAGTCTGCCAGGCAGCACGCGCTCTTCCTCAGAAACTTTCTTCATCTCCCGGCCTCCAAAAGCAAGTAGAAGACTGTTATACTTGCTACAACGCTAACCACACTTCCCAAACGCCAAATAAAATTAAACTTTCTGTTTCCCTAGAAGGCAAACCTTGCAGCATGGAGGTAGACACGGGCTCAGCGCTCTCAATCATCTCCTGGGATACGCTGAAGGAGATTCAACCCAGACTGACCAGGAAGCAGCTACAAAAGTGCCACCTCACCCTGAGAGACTACCAAGGCAAGAACATCCCTGTCCTCGGGAAAGGCAAGTTCCTTGTTAAATTCCGAACCTTCAAAGGCCATTTGCCTTTAGTGGTGGTTAATGGTGCCCTCCCTAGTCTTTTGGGGTTAGATTGGTTCCCCTCTCTTGGCCTTAGTGTAACAGGGATTCATGCTGTCTCAACTTCGGATGTAGACACATTATTCGCAGACTATTCCGACGTCTTTAGCAGCGAGCTGGGTTGCTATAATGGCACACCCATCTCTTTCTCTGTAGACCCCCAGGCAGTTCCCGTCCGCCTAAAATCTCACAGAGTACCTTTCGCTATCCGCCCCAAATTGGACGCGGAACTAGACAAACTTCTCAAACAAGGGGTAATAGAACCCACAGATTTCGCCAAATGGGAGACCCCCATAGTCACCCCACTAAAAAAGGATGGCAGTCTGAGAATTTGTGCAGACTATAAGACGACCCTCAACCGTTATCTTCAGGTTAGCGCATATCCTGTTCCAGTCATCCAGCACCTGTTGCACACATTCGAACCCGGCACCATTTTTGCCAAGCTAGACATGTCACAGGCATACCAGCAGTTCCCTGTCAACAGCCACACAGCAGATTTACAAACCATAGTAACACATAGAGGGGCATTCAGGTGTAAACGTCTACAATTTGGCGTCAGCGTAGCCCCAGGTATTTTTCAGTCACTAATGGAGAGAATTCTCCAAGGTCTTCCAGGAGTAGTTCCCTATTTTGACGATATTTTGGTCTCAGCTATGGATAGGCCCCAACTCCTGCAGAGGGTCAGGGCAGTATTAGAGAAGTTTAGACAGCATGGTCTCAAGCTCAAACGGGAGAAGTGCACCATCGCCACTAGACAGGTGGACTTTCTAGGATATAGGTTAGACGCCTCAGGCATCCACCCAGTGGAGTCAAAAGTAAAAGCCATCCACGAGGCACCCACACCTACCAACAAAACGGAGCTACAAGCCTTCCTGGGGTTATTAAATTTCTACGCTTCGTTCCTACCCCACAAAGCATCAGTCGCTGAACCTTTGCACAGGTTATTAGATAAAGACACTCCGTGGCACTGGGGACCCATAGAATCCCATGCATTTAAAGCAGTCAAATCTCTACTCACTTCAGAAGCCATTTTAATGCAGTTCGACCAACGCCTTCCCTTGGTCCTAGCCGCTGACGCATCCCCTTTTGGGATAGGAGCTGTCCTAAGTCACAGACTCCCCAATGGCTCCGAGGCACCAATTGCTTTTTTCTCCAGGACTTTCTCCATGACTGAAAGAAACTACAGCCAGATTGATAAAGAGGCCCTGGCTGCAGTAGCGGCAGTTAAAAAATTCCACAAATTTCTCTTCAGCCACCATTTCGAACTCATTACTGATCACAAGCCGCTTTTGGGACTTTTATCGGGGGACAGGCAAACTCCACAGGTACTGTCCCCCAGGATGACAAGATGGACCTTGTTCCTGGCGGCCTACTCGTTCAAATTGGTCTATCGCCCAGGTAAGACTTTAAGCCACGCAGATGCTCTCAGCCGCTGCCCCTTGCCGACCCCAGTCGAGGACCCCGCTCCGGTGCACGCAATCTTTGAAGTCAACGAACTCAAGCTGCCAGTGACTGCAGATGACATCGCAGCACACTCCAAAAAAGATAAAATACTCGCCCAGGTTCTGGACTGGGTGGGGAGGGGGTGGCCGGAAACAAAGTGTTCAGTTGACTTTACCCCATTTAAAACACGTCAACAGGAATTACCAAAACTCCAGGGATGCCTGCTGTGGGGTACCAGAGTCGTCATCCCAACCACTCTTCGCGTGCCCATATTGAAGGTGCTGCACGAGGGCCATCCGGGCATCGTGCGAATGAAGGCATTGGCTCGCAGTTACGTATGGTGGCCCGGGATGGACGATCAGATCGCCAAGTGGGTAAGCTCATGCCAACCCTGTCAAGAGTCCAGGGCAGCCCCACCAGCCGCTGCACCCACCAAGTGGGAGAGCGCCAATGCCCCATGGTCGCGGTTACACATCGACCTGGCCGGGCCTGTGCATGGCAAAACGTTCTTAGTGGTTGTGGACTCTTATTCTAAGTGGATAGATGTGGCCTTACTTCCCACAACCACCACACAGGCAGTTGTTAAAGCCCTGACCCGGCTTTTCGTAACTCATGGGCTCCCGGACACGCTGGTCTCCGACAATGGCCCGCAGTTCACATCCTGTGAATTTAGTATGTATGTCGCGAATCTGGGCATCAGACACGTCCTCACGGCCCCTTTTCACCCTGCTAGCAATGGGATGGCGGAGAGAGCTGTCAGGTCAGCTAAGGAGGCACTAGCCAGATTCGGTCAGGAAAACTGGCATTCCAAGTTGTCTCGTTTTCTCCTCAGCCAGCATACAACACCATGCACAAGCACTAATAAATCCCCGGCCGAACTTTTAATGGGGAGACGCTTAAGGACTACCCTAGACAGACTGCACCCCCATTACTGTCCTGACACCCCGTTAGGGTCTGACAGCCAGGTCAGAGACTTTGCCTTGCAGGACTCAGTTTTTGCAAGGAACTACGCAGGAGATCTGTTTTGGGTGCCAGGGCAGATCGTGGCCATCACGGGTCCAAGATCCTATCGGGTCCAACTGGAGGATGGTCACGTGTGGCGGAGACACCTGGACCAACTAAGGAGGTGGCGGAACAGTCTGACCAACGCTGAACCGAATCCACCGGCCAGCCCTCGAGTTCCCGTCCAAGTTCCAGAAGGAAGCTCCCTGAGGGACCAGACATTCCCAATCGAACAGAGTGAGCCTAGAGTGGATCCGGACTGCCAACCCGAATCTCCACCTCGTCCACCCAGCAGGATCACCAGTCATCCGGACCGAGACGGTTTTCCGAGCCAGCCCGAACGAGGGGAGTCATTCCATTCCCAAGATCCCACGCCAAGCCAAGTTGATACCCCGGCGACCTCGGAGCCTTGTTCCATGGACTCGATGCCCACCAGCAGTTTCCCTGAACCACGACGTTCCGGTCGCCAGCGCAATCCACCCACGTATCTCAAAGACTATGCATGTTCCCAGCTAGGGGGGAGGAGTGTTATGTCTTTAGGACTGGTTGGAGTCCCCAACCAGGTCCGCTGTTTGAGCGGGAGCACCAGCAGCTCCCATTGGTTGGCTCCGTTTGACAGTCGGCTATAAAAGCCGGCTGTCGAGCAGAGCCAGCCGTCGTTCGCTTGCAGTCTGCCTTGTTAGCTGGCAGATGTGACGACCCTTTATTCCCTGAATAAAGACTGTTACTTGTATGCTCTGGTCTAAGCCTCATCTGTTCCATCGCTCCACAACACCAACCACCTCCTGCAATGAAAGGATCCCTCTCAAACCTGGTGCAGAAAGTGTCTTGCCATGACTAGTCACAACCAAAAAGGAAGAAAAGATTGTATTGAACAGACTGTGACATTCTAACCGGCGAGAAAATCCCAGATCTGCAGTGGGTTGAACTGAATTGTTAAAGTGAGTAATTCCCAGAAATTCTTGGTAAAAAAAGGAAGCTCCAGTGGGAGGGTTTTAATCCCCCCAAATTTAGTGGTGACCCAAAGGGAAGAGCTGTGATCTATTGAACTTAAAACTGAAAAAGTGGAAGAAATCTGAAATCAATAGCGATAGAGAGGGATGCAACGAGTACAGAGGGAAAGGAAAGAGAAAGAACGGTGAAAGCGAAAGCAGATGAGCGGAAGGCGTTAGAGGTGAGAGAGACGAAAGGAGAATTCCATGACTTGACTTGACTAGTGCTGAAAGCAACAAAGTAATGGCCGAGTGAACCGAGGCTGAAAGAAGTCGGAAAAACCTGGGACAGATCAAAGAGCAAAGAAGAAAGGATTGGAGGAGATGGTGAAGTCTGTCAGGAAAAATGACAGGGAGTGGAGGAGAGGAAGGTGGCTGTTTTTGGCAGCTCAGTGGCTAATGAGACAAGTAAATAAGATTGAGAAAAGGCTGTGAAAGAGAGGAGAAACAAATCCCAGAAGCTAAAACTGAGAAAGAGTGAGAACTATAGGAGACCCAGAATCAATAACAAGTGGAAAGTCACAAATACCAGCTGAGACAGAAGTGGAAAAGAACACTGTGATACTAAATAACTGTATATTAACTGGAGACCAAGCGTATTTGACGAATGGTATAGAATTAATTGGATCACTATATTGAATGTTGTGATAGTGTTGATTATATTGATTATAATATTTATATACATTTATATAAATTTATAGTATTTACATGAATTCCAGTGATTAAAATATGTTTAAGAAATAACCAAAATACATGTAATATTTATAACACTTAAAGGACCTTGGAATATTCATCTCTAATGATCTAAGTGCTAGAGCCCACTGTAACTACATAGCCAAAAAGGCATTAAGAGTTGTTAGCCTAATCCTACGTAGCTTTTTCTCTGGTAATATTACACTAATAACTAGAGCATACAAAACATTTGCTAAACCAACACTCGAATACAGCCCATCAGTCTGGAACCCACATTACGTATCTGATAATAGCACAGTTGAGAAAGTCCAGAAATATTTCACAAGAAGAGTTCTCCACTCCTCTACTTGTTGTAGAATACCTTATGCCACCAGACTTGAAATTCTAGACCTAGAAAACCTTGAATTACGCCGTCTTCGGTCTGATCTAAGTATGGTATATAAAATCATACATTGCAATGTCCTACCTGTCAATGAATACTTCAGCTTCAACCATAACAACACAAGAGCACACAATAGATACAAATTCAAGGTTAACCGCACCAAACTTGATTGCAGGAAATACGACTTCAGCAACAGAGTGGTCAATGTCTGGAATACCCTACCTGACTCTGTAGTTTCTTCCCCAAACCCCAAAAACTTTAACTTTAGACTTTCTACTATTGACCTCACCCCTTTCTTAAGAGGTCTGTAGGGGACGTGCATAAGCGCACCAACATGCCTACCGTCCCTGTCCTATTGTTTCTTTTATTTTTCTTATATGTACCCATTTCATGTATTCATAACTATGTATATACTTATACTTATTACTTTGTAAACAATTGACAAATCAAATAAATATATAAATAAATAGGTATTTTGTCATTTTTCCAGTTCTTCGCAAATACAATTCTAGCCCTGTTAAAACATTTACAATCAAATATTTCAGTTCTTTATTGTATATGTCCGGTATGATTCCCAATAAGAAGATCTCTGGTTTAAAGTCTATATGTTGTTTTATCATTTTTTCCAAACATGTGTGGATTTTAGATTTCTTCACGTCCGAACATTTCCACCACATATGGTAATATAAACCAGGTATCTGATGACATTTCCAGCATTTATCCAATTTATTCTTAAACATTCTTGCAAGTCTCGTTGGGGGTAAGTGCCACCTGTAAAACATCTTATACAAATTTTCTTGATATGCAGTTGATATTGTCATTTTTTAATTTTGAGACCACAATTTTTGCCATTTTTCTAAATCAATCCCACATCCAAAATTTTTCCCCAAGCAATCATCGTTGCTTTGACTTGTTCCTCCTCCAGTTTAAATTCTAATAGATGTCCATAAAGTTTTTTAATTACCTTTTCATCAGTACCCATCAAAATTTTATCTAAATCAGTCAACTTGTCGTAAATACCTTCTGCCTTAGAGTCTTTATCAAACCTAGATTATATTTGCAAATATGAAAACCAATTCATTTTTACACCTTGTTCTTCCAATGCGTGCATAGATTTAAGTTCACCCTTTTCATTCAATATCTCCCCATATTTAACTGTTTGCTCCTTTTTATATATCATTGGATAAGAAAAAGCTTTAATAGTTGATATCCATGTTGGAATTTTTAACTAATATTGTCTTTTTATCTTTTCCCAGTTCAAAAACAATGCCTCACGAATGTCTTCTGAAATACCCCTGTGTTTTAGATTGTTGGAGGCAATATGCTGATTTTATAAACCACTTAGAGATGGCTGTAAAGCTACGTGAAGTGGTATATATGTCTAAGTGCTATTGCTATTGCAGTAGCTGAAAATGATTTTAGGTCAAATCTAGCATAAAACTAGATTTTACTCTGATTCAAAGTGTATTTCAATATTTCAGGACAGATGCATTTTGAACACATGTATCCAGCCCTCAAGCATATCTCACTAGCATTGCTAATTCCTGTTACAATTGAGAATGTATGCAAAACTTTCTTGACCAGGAAACACTATTTTAAAAAGACACTTCAGAAATACATCTTCTCCAACACACATACATAATTCCACTGTACTAAAAACATTTCATTGTGCTGAACGTTTTTTTCTCCATAATCTTGTTCTGTTTTATAGGGTTTTAATTAGTTTTCAGCTTTCCATATGTGAGGTGTGTGTACCATGTGGTTGAAATATTTTTGTGATGTGTATGTGTTTGTGTGCAGGGTGGGGGAGCAGCCAGGAAAAGTCCAAAGAAGCAATTTAAGCTGTTTCAGTTGTTTACCTGTGTTAGTGTTTGGGGACAAACCCCCAAGCAGAGTGCACAGCAGCAGTCAAGCCAGGCAGCCAAATGAGAGAGAGGCTGGGCCCAAGAGTATACACACACTGGAGACAAAAACACTGTTTGTAGTTTTAAATAGTTGTTTAATTCACACAGAGTTTAAGCAGTGTCAATCAGTCCATATGTCATAATCCAATATATCCATCCAGTAACCTAGTCCATTAACTAGTCAGTACAATGTCTTTATCTTCTCCTTCCAATACCTTTCTCTCGAAGACAACGCTGAGTATACACAGGATATCAGCTCACCAAGTAAACAGTCCTTTTGTTCAGTAGAAACGGTATCGAGCACAGTAGCCAACAAGCATTAACAAACAGACGTCTCAAACGGGAGTAAACAGCAGGCAGCAGACAGCAGAGAGACCAGGAGACCAGCGACCAGTAACCAGGAAGTGTTACGTTTCTCTTACTGCCTTTTATTGCAGCTTGTAACCGCACCCTTAATTATCTAATTACATTGCAGTTTGGTGCTTAAAGCTACAAACACTTAAACCTAGGTTTATATATTTATTCACCCAAACCTAGTTGGTGTATCCATATACCCAACATACTCCCCTTTTGGGTGATATAAATATATAATACCCTTACAATCTTAACCCATATTTTTCACAACTCTCTTGGTGCTTAATGGCACCTTGGGCTTTAGTAAAATTATCAGCTATATTGTCCTCCGACATGCAATACTCCAGCTGTATCATTTTACTATTTACAGATTGTCTAACGTTTAGGTACCTTAAATCTGTATGCTTGCTCCTAGTTTTTACTGCAATATTTGTGGCCATTTGAATTGCTGCCTGATTATCTTCATGTACAATTATAGGATAATTTACAGTTATACCCATATCATTCATCATTTGTTTATACATAATTAATTCAGTACATAATAGCGATAAACAGGAGAATTCTGCCTCCATAGTAGACAAACTTATATGCTGTTGTCTTATTGACTTCCAACCTATTAATGTCTTACCCAGCATTATGGCTGTTCCTGAAGTTGACTTTCTTGTGTCTCTTTCTGATGCAAAGCTAGCATCTGCATAAGCACTCAATATGAGATCACCTTTTGGTTCTAGATACAGTGCATGGTGTAATGTTCCTTTAAGATATCTTAAGATTCTCTTCAATGCTATCCAATGACACTGAAGCGGATCATTATTATGTCGAGCCAGCTGATTAATACTATAAGCTATATCTGGCCTTGACCAATTGCTAATGTATGATAAGCTACCAATCAAAGATTGATATATTGCCTTATCAAACTTGGGACTTTGAGTATCCATTTTGCAAATATCCTGACTCATTGGAGTCTTTGCAGGCTTACAAAGTTCCATCTTATAATCTATTAGCAATTTAGATATCTTATCTTCCTGAGATATCTTAAAACCTTTCTGTGTTTTCACTATATTTAAACCTAGATATCTCTTTATCTCCCCTAATTGCTTGATTTTTATTTTCTTTCCTAATGATGCTATTATTTTATTTGCTTCATCATTAGTCTCAGTAATCAAGGCAATATCATCAGTAAACAACAATAATAATGATATTTTCCCATTTGTCTCCCTTTTAAACAGACATGGATCGGCTAAACCAGCTTTAAACCCTATATTGTTCAGTTCCTTTACAATATACTGGTTCCATTCATAGCCAGATTGTTTAAGACCATAGAGGCTCTTTTTTAACAACCAACAATCATTATTATTTTCACCTTTCAATCCAATAGGCCTTTTCATATATACAGTATGTCTTAGTGGAGCGTGCAAGTAAGCAGTTTCCACATCTAGATGGTTAACTATATATTTCTTGCTTGCTGCCCACACTAAAGCTGCCCTTAATGTTGCTGCTTTAAGACTAGGTGCAAATACCTCATCATAGTCATTGGCACTTTGTCTAAAACCTTGGGCCACTAATCTTGCCTTATGGATTATATTTCCATCCTTATCAGTTTTTATCTTAAAAATCCATTTGCAGCCAATGGGTTTTATATCACCAGGTAATCTCACATTTTCATAAACTTTCATATCCTTTAAGGATCTCAATTCCTTATTCATTGCTGCATACCAACTTTCCTTATCTTTAGAAGGATACTTTTTAATTTCATCCACAGTACATGGAACTTTATTTACCTGGCACACTGTGTTAGCCTGGTATCTATCAGGCGGTCTAGATATACGTGTAGTTCTTCTGGGAATTACAGGGCTTGTATGAGGACTTTTTTTGAATTACTACCTGTTCATGTTCCTCATCTTGCTCAGCTATTGGTTCTATTTCTTCTTCTATGGGCACAATTTCTTCCTGTATTTCTCTTTTTACTTTATTTTTAAAGTTACAGGGATAATTAATGGGATTTCTATAGGATTCAATAATCACTTCTTTATTGTTATCCTGTTCTAACTTATCCCATCCTACGTGCTCTAGAAATTGGGCATTGGCACTACATAACACCTTAGATGTGCCTTTCTCCCAAAATCTATATGCCCTATGGTTAGCTTGGTAACCAACGAAGAAGAATTGTTTAGCTCTGTGTTGCCCTTTACGCCTGAGTTGTGTAGGGATATGCACCCATGCTGGTGCACCAAATGTGTGCAGGTAACTCAGATCAGGCTTCCTGCCATGCCACATGGTGAATGGTATTTCACCAGTAGTTGAGTTAACAACGTTGTTCAATATGTTATTGGCACACATTGCAGCCTCCCCCCACAAAGAATCAGGTAATCCAGAATCAGTTAACATTGTTCTAACCATTGCCTGTAGTGTTTGGCCTCTTCTCTCTATAAATGCGTTGTGTTGTGGTCTGTATGGTGCAGATTTTTTGTGCTCTATTCCAGCTACCTTTAATCTATTCTGGAATTTGTTATTAACAAATTCCGTACCATTATCTGTCACCAGGGTTATCAGTTGCCGTTTAGTCTTTCTTTCTGCAAACTTTAACCAGTTGAAGAATGTTGATATGTTTCAGTTTTGCTTTTCATTAGGTAGCAAAACCCATATCTAGAGTAATGGTCCATAATGCTCAGTATATATCGAGCACCCCCCATACTGGGTTTCTTTGGACCTATAATGTCTGCAAATACTACTTCTAAAGGTTCTTTAGTTTTGAAACCATTTAGCCTATTTGCAGGCAATATTTTACTCTTATCTTCACAGCAGACATTACAACGCAAATATTTATCACAGGGTTTTAACCTTATTCCTTCAGATAACTCTACTGTGCGTTTTAGCATTTTAAAATTTACATGCCCCAAACGCCTATGCAATAAATGGATACATTCATTATGAGGCTTTATATTGTTAAATACAGTCTGTGCCTCCCCTTTCTTACTATCATGTAATACATATAATGTTCCATTTAAAGCTGCAGTTACCCTGTTGTTATCTTTTTCAATTATGCAATTATTATTCTTAAATGTAATTACATAACCTAGTTTATCTAATACTCTTACAGAAAGTAAGTTCATATTTAACTGTGGTACATATAACATTTTTATATTCTGGTTTAAACATGGACAGTATGCAATACCTTCACCCTTGGCCTTGAGGTGCCAGCCGTTAGCGAGTGATATATGTTGAGAGCTTGTAGACATTTTTATAAACTTTGTCTTATCTCTCGTGATGCAGTGGGATGCACCACTGTCCACCACCCATAAATCATTCTTCACATCACAGTTGCTATACGTGGCTAGTTCAAAGGATTTCTTTGGCTTCTTTACATTCTGGCGTTTTTCTTTTCTGCAGAATCTTGCCAAATGTCCTCTGCCTCCACAATTAAAACACTTTTTAATTGTGTATGCCGTTGAAGATAAATTCTCTTCTTCCGGGTGCTTTACTTTACTAAGTTGGTTTCTTTCATGCTTTGAAGATAATTTCTCTTCTTTATTAGGTTTATCTTCTCTCAGCTGGTCACGTTCACACCTTCTTCTGGCTTCTTCTAATAGCCTGCCGGAAATCTCAGTTACTGATAAACTGTCTTTTGGCAATATTTCTAAAGCAGTCACAAAATCATCATAGCTTCGATCCAAAGAAGACAGTATAATGTATACTTGTTGCAACTCATTAAATATAAGCTCTTTTTCTTGTAATTCCTGAAAAATGCTTTTCATACAGTTTAAATGAGTTAACATGTCTCCATTCTTCTCAAGATGTGTTCTAAACAGCTTCCGTGTAAGATTAATATGAGCTCCTACACTGTCTCGAACATAAATCTTCTTGAGATTCTCCCAGCAGTTTGCAGCATTTTCCTCTCCACGGATATGAATCAGTTGCTGGTCAGAGAGAGTCAGTCCTATGATGCATAAAGCCTGCTCATTCTTTCGTTCATAGTCTTGTATCTTTTTGGCATCCTCTTCAACATTAGGATCTAAGTTAGATACATCTGGAGGGTTTGTTATTATGTCCCACAAACCTTCTCTTCGTAGCAGTAAACTACATTTCATTGACCATGAAACATAGTTTGTTCCATCTAGTCTGGATATCATGGACAGATTCGGCAAATTTACTTGTGCCATTGCTCTTCAGATAAATAACTATTCAACAAACAGTTTGTTTTTACAGTAATGTGCAAGTCACACCAAACTCTCTCTGCTATAACCTGGTTAGTTAGACTGTGCTCACTGGGCCCATAACCAATGTTAGTGTTTGGGGACAAACCCCCAAGCAGAGTGCACAGCAGCAGTCAAGCCAGGCAGCCAAATGAGAGAGAGGCTGGGCCCAAGAGTATACACACACTGGAGACAAAAACACTGTTTGTAGTTTTAAATAGTTGTTTAATTCACACAGAGTTTAAGCAGTGTCAATCAGTCCATATGTCATA